GTGGGCCAGCAGGGAAAACTCTAGAGAATTTCTGTTGGTTAGGGATGTGCCCACTGGCACATAACTTACTAACGTGTGCTTTGAAAGGCTGTTCTTGAGTGTAAACCTAAACTTCTCCACTATATAAACGTGTGGAAGTTAATTAGCCTCTCTATCCTCTGCCTCCACATCTCTAAATTGGTATGGTTTATTCTTCAGTGGGTGTGAGAATTAAATAAGTTATTGAAAATAAAATGCTTAGCACGGGGACTGCCTTAAAGCATATTGGCCCACACTATGGATGATTTATCCCAAGTCATGCATGCTACTAGGTTGTGAATATATAAAAGTTGGTTTGGCCTTAGCACTTTTTTTTTGTTCTTTTCTTCTTCAAGAGTCTCAATCAATTTATCTGTTCAATGGAAATTTAAAACTTCAAATTCAATTACCTCAAAGATTTGCTGTGAAGAAACGATGAGATAATGCATTTCAAAGTTTTTCACAAGCTATAAAGGTTCAGCCAAAAGTAGTTAATGGGAAAATAGATCATGGCGAAGAAAGAGGATGAGAACACAAAGGAAGAAGAGAAGGAAAAGGGTCAGAGCTTGAGAGTTTTTTTAATCCTTTCTTTCCGTGGTAAACATCTAAACCTTCTTACCTATTTCACCCTGTTGCCATAGTGAGTTGTGGGTGATTTCCTCACACTCGTCTTCTAATGCAGTGTTTCACATCTGCTCTTTAACCCATCTGTTGATTACGATTACTGTTGTTACGGTTGTTGTTATCTCAATGACTATAACTTTCCAATTCCAGCATTTTTATTTGAAGCGTTTTTGAAATATTTTTGTTCTTGTTAAAAAAATAATATCCTCTACTTACCTGTGGACTCACTTTTTAAAAATTTCTTTGAATATTTTAAAAACGATTATTTTGCCTTCCAGTTTTGACAATATCACCTGAATTTTATGGGGTACAATTTCATTCATTTCTGAATCTGCTGATTTACTGTCCTAGAGTTTGGGGTTCATTGAAAGGAAAGAGGCATGTGATTTGGGAAGTCGGAAGGACTTTGGGTTGGGAAAGAGGGATGTGTGATGTGTGTATGTGTGTGTGTGTTTCTGTTTACATGTTTAATGAAAAGTTCTGAAAGACAATGATTGCTATTAGCTTCTCTTTCACGAGTTTTTAATGTACTTTAAGGCAGGCCCCATGCTAAGCACTTTATTTGCAATAACTTATTTAATTCTCACACTCACTGAGGAATAAACCATCCCAATTTAGAGATGTGGAGGCAGAGAATAGAGAGGCTAATTAACTTCCGCACGTTTATATAGTGGAGAATTTTAGGTTTATCCTTAAGAACAGCCTTCCAAAGCACAGATGAGTAAGTTATGTGCCAGTGGGCACAACCCTAACCAACAGAGATTCTCTAGAGGTTTCTCTGCTGGCCCGCGGAAATATCAGAAAAGACAAATTACCTTTAGTGAAGATTAAGTATGATGAAAATAAAACTACAGAGGTCTATGTAAATATTTGGATGAATCTGATGCTAATGGGACCTTGCATAAGTGATTATTGTACTGTGAGGTATCTTGATGGTAATAATGATGATAATCTGTGTTGGGTATCATCTTTGCTTTACCCATATCTGGCTCATAATTTCAGATCCCCAAGTCGCTCACCTCTGTAACCTCTGCTAAGCCAACTACAGATGTATAATTTTTCTCAGTGACTTTTAGTAACCTAGTTAATCCCCAAATAAATATATTCATGCCACATAAAACTGAGACTTTTGATGTCGTCACATTATCTATTTTTTCTGTCTTAAACTTCTCACCATGACCTCTAAGAACTTTCTGGAATTTTTTGGTTTCTGGCTTTGTGACTCATTTTTCTGATCACCATCTGACCTCACTTCTCAGACTCTCAGTGCAACGTTTTAGACCTAACCAAAGCTTTCTATCTTCAATCATGACTGCAGTTTATTATTTGGCTTTGCTCCCACTAATGATTGGGTATTAATATAGTTTGGATATGTGTCCCCACCCAAATCCCATGTCAAATTTTAATCCTTAGTGTTGAAGGTGGGACCTGGTGGGAGGTAATTGGATCATGGGGGTGGGTTTCTCATTAACAGTTTAGCACCACCCCCCTCGGTACTGTCCTCATGACAGTGAGTGAGTTCTTGTGAGATCTAGTTGTTTAAAAGTGTGTAGCACCCCCCTCCTCACTCTCTCTCTCTCATTCCTGCTCCTGCCATGTGAGAAGCTTCACTCATCCTTTGCCTTCTTCCATATTAGAAACTTCCTGAAGCTTCCCCCAAAGCAGAAGCCACTATACTTCCTGTACAGCCTGCAGAACCATAAGCCAATTAAAGCTCTTTCCTTTTAAATTATTAAGTCTCACGTGTGACCTTATGGCAATGTGAGAACAGGCTGACTCAGGGGTGTACTACAGGCCAATCTAACCAAGTCTGAAATCTCAGGATTTAAGATTTTTATGGACTCCCTATCTTTTTCAGCATGCTTGTTAGATTGACAGACTTTGTATAAATGTCTGTCAACACAAGGGACTTACTACTGCATGCGACGGCATTTTACATTATTTCACAGACCTAATTGATATAGTTATATGCATATAACTTATACTGTGGTGTTGCCATTGTTCTTCCTTGGTTCTATGCCTTTCCCAAACTCTTCAGACTTCAAGTCTCAGATCCTGAAGCCCTCAAGTAGACTTAGGCGTTCCTCCTTCTTGGATCTCTCTACACTTGTAAAAAAGCCCTTCATTAGTGCTCAGAATACATTGTGTTAGACTCTGTGATTCTTTTTACAGAAAAAGCCAGGTAATTTCATTTTATTTGTATAAATAACACATAAAAACAGTGCTGGATGCCTAGTCTGTATATCTCTGTTGAATTACTGAGGAATAAATGAATTACTAAATCTAATGCATAAGTGAATGAAAGTAAATGTTTGTCTCTGAATGTGGTTCTCTATGAAAATTAGTCTATGCATTTGGAAAACGTGGTATTCTCTCCAGAATAAATTAAGCAGAAAAAATATCCCAATGTACTGTAGAGAATGTATCCTTTATCCATTAGATCATAATGGATAAGGTGACCACTAATTTTAAAATGATACTTTAAAAAGTGTAAAATGATATACTTAAGGTTTGCAACATAAAAAAATACCACCATAATCACTGTCTGAACTGTGAAACTACTGAGCTAAATTAAGTCTGACATTAACAAGAATTCTAGCAAGCATTACCTAGTGGAATCACGAATAAGACCCAGGAACTTCAGCTCCTTAACCACCAACAGGATAACACAGGTACCCATAAGACAAGAGAAAGTGAGAAAAGTATTGATTCTGTTTAGCCAAATTGTTTTAAGAGAAATTTAAAGCATGAAGAGAAGGTGAAAGCAAGGGGAAAGTTTTGATCTTGTGAGAGCTGGTGGACAATGTGGTCTAGTGCTCTTGTTCTCTGTTCACTATTGTCTTAGTCTGTGTTGCTATAAAGAAGTACCTGAGGATGGGTCGTTGATAAAGAAAAGAGGTGTATTTGCCTCATGCACAAGATGCAGCAGCACTGGTATCTACATCTGGCGAGGGCCTCAGTCCACTCCCATTCAAGGTGAAGGAGGAAAGGAACCCAGCACGTTCAGAGATCATATGGTACAAGAGGAAACAAAGAGCAGGTGCCGGGCTCATTCAACAACCAGGTCTTACTCACAGGAACCAACAGAGGGATAATTCACTCATTACCTTGAGGATGGAACCAAGCCATTCCTGAGGCATCTGCCCCCAGGACCCAAACACTTCCCATTAGGTCCCGCCTCCCACAATGGGGATTACATTTCAACATGAGGTTTGGGGCGACAAATATCTAAACTACAGCAATTGTAAAGAAAAGTAACCGGTCAAATATCTAAACTACAGCAATTGTAAAGAAAAGGAAACGGTCAGCTGCAGTGGCTCAGGCCTGTAATCCCAGCACTTTGAGAGGCCAAAGTAGGCAGATCATGAAGTCAATAGATTGAGACCATCCTCGCCAACATGGTGAAACCTCATCTCTACTAAAAATACAAAAATTAGCTGGATGTGGTGGCAGGTGCCTGTACTCCCAGCTATTAAGGAGGCTGAGGCAGGAGAATCACCTGAACCCGGGAGGCAGAGGTTGCAGTGAGCCGAGATCACGCCACTACACTCCAGCCTGGTGACAGAGCAGGACTCCATCTCAAAAAAAAAGAGAAAAAGAAAAAAAAGAAAAATAACCTTGTAATAGATGTTGTGGTGTTGGTTTTGTTTCTGTTGTTGTTATTATTACTATTATATAAACTACCATTTATATGGCATTAACCTAGGGCTAATATTTTGGCACTTGTATAGTGTCTAATGGTCATAGTGAACAATATCATCTGTTATGCTCACTGTACGGATGAGGAATAAGAGGTTCAGAAAGGTTACATCACATGCTTAGGACTTCATAGTTACTAAAAGGAATCAGTGGTAACTAGAGAATGTGTTGTTTTTCTGTCACGTTGCCTCCTGCTGTCTACTTCTGCAGGAAAAATCGTATTGTTTTTCTCCGTGTGAGCCTGGGCAGCGCAATTTGGGTTGGATTTTGCTGTGATTATTTGGTTACACCGATGAAAGGGAATCCCAGGATGTGTGTTATGGATTTGGCCATCTCCACCAGTCACACGGTTATGTTTCCTTCTGCCTTCTCACTTGGGACACCGTAGATGTAGATTCCATGTATATCAATCGAGCAATTCATACATTTACCGTGAGTTGTATTAATAAAGTATTTTAGTTCTAAGGAGTCAGTAGAGTTATCTCATATTTTCTCACATAAAATCTCTGTGAAATGGAGATATTATCTATTTTTAGCAGTCAAGAATATGAGTATATGGGAGTTGAAGTGATTTGTCAGAAATGAATACTAAGTGGTGGCCCCTGACAAACTCCTTCCTTTGTAAATTTACTAAGCTTCTCCTCTGTTCTTTCTTTAAGGGCGTACAAAGTGTAAAACATAATGCCAAACGTACAAGCATGAAGAGGAAATAATTCAGTATTTTGCTCTCAAGGAGGATCACATTGTCTTCTATCAGCATTTTAATGAAGCATTGAAGTAAGCTTGAATTTTATCAGCCCAAGCATGGGGAGTGTTTCAAATAAGAGGCAGCCCTAGGGCCATCTCTATCACTAGCGGTCTGTGCAGTCACCCAGGGTCCTCAGCTCAGAAGAGCCCTTCACTTGGCTTAATGCTCTACTATTGCTGTCTCAAAATTTGTAATACTTTTTGAAGGAGGGACTCTGACTTTTCATTTTGCACTGGGCCCTGCAAATTATGTAGCTGGTTCTGGATATGCTTCAATCTGCTCCTTGAATCCATAGGGAGGATGAAAGTCAGACAGGCAAGAAGCCAGCAATGCAGGCTCTATAATACCAGAAAGGATTAGGTAGCTAATTGAGAGCCATTTTTGCTCACTAGTCCTGAGTAGAGATGATCAGTTCTGAAGATCTTAATTTTATTTTGTGTAACTCACATGTTTCACATTTAAGTGCTCCAGAAAATTTAGCTCGATTAGGCAAAATCAATTCTCATGATTCTTGCCAACTATTGCAAAAATTATCAACTTTCAAATTGCCAACTTTCAGCAAAAAATTGAAAGAACTACATGTTAGCTATAAATTGAATTACAATTCACATGGATACACACACACTCTCACATACATATTGTTGAACTATTAAAAATAAGTATCAAACAGTATGGAACTTTAGCCTAAAGTATTTAACCATACCTCTTCTAAAAGCATTTTTCTAAGTTATCTCATTTTTCTTGTAACCTCTAAGAAACATAATGAAATTCACTAATATTATTTAAAATCTAATTCATATTCAAATCTCCCAGTGTCTAAACAGTTCCTTTATTTTTAAATTAGGAATCATACAGTATCCACATACTGCATTTGGTTTAAAAATTTTTTTAATCCATGAAGGGTTGTAATACACCAATTACATTTTAAAAATTAATCTGTAGTAATATTAAAAAATTATCACAAATTGCCACTCTTGGAGGTGACAAATATACCACTTCTCAAACTGAAAAATGTTAATTAAAGGGAAAGAAGTAATACATACTCTGACTTTTTCAGAAGGAACTGTGGTTCACACCCAGCTGATGAGACAAGGGTGATTTTTTTTTTTTTTTTAACAGAAGAATGTCGGTCAATAACTATCGAAAGAACGTTATAATTAAAAATAATAATTTTACAATTATTATTGAAACCATTCAAGTAAAAATCATTAGTGGATGCTTAAAATGATTGCACATAAGAAAGTTTGGAAAAAATTTTCCAGTCATCATCACTATTGTTGGGACTACTTGATGCTATGTCCTTCCTGCGGTGCTGCATCACCTGAAATATTTCTTTCCTTCAACAAAAAGCTCATTCTTAATCTAATGAGACATTAGTCCTGACCTCTAGCTTATGGGAAATATGGAGGATAGAGACCAAGTTAAATGACACCATGAGTCAATAATCAGAGGTTGGGAGATTCCATAAATAACTTACCTAGTTACTTAAAACATATCAGTTGTGAAAGAAAAGATAAGCAGTTATGTCATAGTTTAAGCATAAACTATTACATTGCATGGCTTTATCATTTATCATTAGTAAAACATACATTCATATTCATACACATATATGTATGTCTGAATGTGTTTATTAACATGCTTTAATGACTAAATGAGTAAATAATGAAGGTTTAGTTTACAATAGTCTTTATTACTGAAGAGGGATTCATTTAGGAACCAAACTAGGATGTTTTCCACTATATAGACATTGTGATGAAAATATATATTCCTGAATTTGCTTGTTGCTTTTGTATTTGCAGAGTTCCTGTAGTAATTACTAACATTACTTTTATTTTATTATGTGGTGCTTTCACCTTTCCCTTTTTTAAGTTGTAGAAAATATTAATTTAAATGTTTTTATCTTAATTTGTTAAAGCTGGGCTTCTGAAAGAACCCAAAAGTTCTTGGTGTCAAAGTGCTGGAAAATGTACATATTCAATAAAGGGTCCTGTTGGCCACATGATGGAAACACTAAGAAGGAAAAGAAAAAGATGCTTGGTTTCTGAGGCTGAACTGGGGATGAAGGTTTTTTTAGAGAGATTTATTCACTTCAATTTGCTCCTCCTCTTCATCTTTCCATTATTTTCATGTTGTTTAGGGAGTAGGAGTAGAGAGGAAATCATGCAATGAATTGTGAAATACTATCAAGGGCAAAGTTCTTGTCTTTTGAAGTTTTAGTGAAATCTAAATACTGAAACTAGGCTTAAGATACCTATTATTTCCTGAAGAAATTGATGAGTCATGGTAGCCACTTGCTCCTCTGAGATTTTACAAAGTGGATCAGATAAGGTTTTGCAGCTTTGCTTCAGGAACTGGCGAGCAACAGTAAGTAAGTAAAGTTGCTACTTACCATATTTAACAATACATTCAATGAAATATCCTCAAACTTTACTAGACCTGATTATCTGAAAATTGTGAGAAATCAATTTTTGTTCTCATTTCTGTATTTAAAAGACATGGAATCATTCACATTGCCACAGTAAAAGGTGGAAACGGTGAAATGAAATATTAATACTTTAAGTTAAACTCTTATTCTTTTATCTTTTCAGGCTCCATACCACCATTGTTAGACAACTACATTAAAAAAATAATAATAAGGCACATTAAAGCAGGAATATTCTGGTCCCCTTTGCATGTGGTTATGGTTCTCAGAGATAATTATGATTATTACAAACCATTAGACTAAGAACTTGTTGAAACTTGCTCACTTTTAATGAGATAGTTCAGGATAATACACACACACACACACACACACACACACACACACACACATATTCCAAAAGAAATGACAGAAAAATATTTGGAATTATATCACCAAATTGACTGAGGTGGAAAGACCCCCATCTCCTTAGGTTTTGCAGCAGCACTTTCTTCTAGAGGGAGTGTGAGTCCTGTGCTGTCTCACTGGACTGCCTGTAGAAGAGACCCAACTTCAGTCCAGAGCCAATCATGCAGATGAAAGAGGGAAGCGATTGAGAAGATGCTTCACTCCGGTGCGGTTGGATTCTGAATCAAATACAGGCTTAGTTTAATTTTCAGTATCAAAGTCACTCTGATTTTTAAAGTCTATGTTTGCTTGTTTTCTTTTTGACAGCTTTCTTGAGGTATCATTGATATACAAAGAACTGCACACAGTTAATGTGCTCAACTGAATGACTTTGGACATCCACAAACACTCATGTTACCATCACCACAATCAAGGTAATTGATAGGCTGAACATCTCCCGAAGTTTCCTTCGGTCCTTTTGTTTTTGTTTATTTTTTGTTTTGTCTTGTTTTCTTTTGGGTAAGAACACTTCTTGGTAAGAACACTGAACATGAGATTTAGCCTCTTGACAGATTTTGAAGTGTGCAATACTGTATTGTTAACTGTAGGTACTGTGCTGTACAAAAGATCTCCAGGGCTTATTCATCTAGCATACCTGAAACTTTACACACATTGAACAGCTACCTATTTTCCCTACCTCCCAGCTCCTGGCAACCAGGAAAATTATTTTAGGTACCTCATATAAGGGGAATGATGCAGTGTTTGTGCCTGGCTTATTTCACTTAGTATAACGTCTTCCAGGTTCATCCATGTTGTTACAAATGGCAATATTTCCTTTTTAAGAAGGCTGAATAGTATTTCATGGTACATATAAATATCCATCAAATGTGCATTGACAGATGAACCATGATATACCATGAAATACTATTTTTTATCCATTCATCTGCAGATGGACATTTAGGTGTCATCCATGTCTTTACAGTTGTGACTAGTGCTGCAATGATCACAAAAATACAGAAATCCCTTCAAATACCGATTTCAGTCTTTTAGACACCCAGAAGTGAGATTTCTGGATCACAAGGTGGTCCTACTTTTATTTTTTATTTGTAGTAATCTCCATACAGTTTTCCACAGCTGCTACACCATTCTGCACTCTTACCAAATGGGTACCAGGGTTCCAATTTTTCCATATCCTCACTAACACTTGATATTTTTTGTTTTGTTTTGTTTTGTAATAGCCATTCTAACAGACATAAAGTGATATCTCATTGCAGTTTTAATTTGCCTTTTCTTGATAATTAATGACATTGAACACTTTTATCTGTTGGGCTTTTCTATATCTTCTTTGGGGAAACATCAGTTTAAGTCTTATTCCCATTTTTTAGTTAGATTATCTTATTTTGTTATTTTATTTTATTGTTGCTATTAAGATGTAGGAGTTTCTTATATATTTTGGAAATGTACCAATTATTAAATATATGGTTTACAAATGTTGGTTTCTATGTCCTAGGTTGCCTTTTCATTCTGTTGCTTGCTATGCAGATAGTTTTTAGTTTGATGTATTTCAACTTGTGTGTGTGTATATGTGTGTGTGTGTGTGTGTGTGTGTGTGTGTATATTTGGTTGCCTGTTCTTTTCGCATAATTTCAAGAAATCATTGTAAAGACCAATGCCACAAAGCTATTCCTTCTGTTTCTTCTAAGAGTTTTACATTTTTAGGTCTTATGTTTAAGTCTTTTTTAAATTTTAATATAATTTTAGTTGATTTTTCTGTATGCTTTAAGGTAGAGGTCCAATTTCTTTCTTTTCTTTCGTTCTTTTTTCTTTTTTCTTTTTTCTGTAAGTGAATATCCAGTTTTTCCAGCATCATTTGTGGAAGAGACTATCCTTTGTCCATTGCGTATTCCTGTCACCATGTCAAAGATCTTGTATGTGTGGAGCTGTTTTGGGGCTCTCCACTTTGTTCCTTTGGTCTATATGCCTGTCTTTATGCCAGTACCATAATATCTTAATCAATGTAGCTCTGTAATGTATTTTGAAGTAAGAAGTGTGATTTTTCCAGATTTATTCTTCTTTCTCAAGATTGCTTAGGCTATCTGGGATCTTTTATATTTTCATATAAATTTTAGGATTGTTTTTTCTATTTTTATAAAACAAACGTCATTGGGATTTTGATGGGGATAGTGTTGAATCTGACGATTACTTTGGAAAGTATGAACATTTTTACAATATATCAGTCTTCCAATCTATGAACACAAAATTTATTTCTATTTATTTATGTCTCCTTTAATTTCCTTAATCAATGTTTTGTAGTGTTCAGTGTACAAGTCTTTCATGTCTTGTTAAGTTATTTCTAGGTATTCTTTTTTTGATTGTACTGTAAATGGGATTGCTTTCTTAATTTTCTTTTCTGGATGCTTTGTTGTTAGCGTATAGAAACACAATTGATTTTTATATATTGATTTTGTATTCTGTAACTTTACTGAATTCATGTCTTAATTCTAGTGAGTGGGGTGTGTGTGTGTGTGTGTGTGTGTGTTTGAGACAGGGTTTCACTCTGTCACCCAGGCTGGAGTGCACTGGTGCTCTCATGGCTGTCCGCAGCCTCCACCTCCTAGGCTCAAGCAATCTTCCCATCCCAGCCCCCTGAGTAACTACAGCTGAGACTACAGGGGCATGCCACCATACCCAGTTATTTATTTATTTTTTTTTGTAGAAAAGAGGTCTCACTATGTTGCCCAGGCTGGTTTGAACTCCTGGCCTAACATATCCTCCAACCTTGACCTCCCCAAATGCTGGGATTACAGGCATGAGCCACCACACCCAGCCAAGAAGGGTATTTTTAAGGAGGCCTTAGAGTTTTTTTATATGTAAGATCATGTTGTCTGCAAACAGAGACATTTTTATTTCCTCCTTTATGATTTGGATGCCTTACAGTAATAACAGAAAAAGTAATGCTAGTATTTCTATGGAATATCTTATTTTGTCCTTTTGCTTTTAAGCTATGTCTTTATATTTAAAACACACTTTTTTAGACAGGTTCTAGTTTGGTTTTACTCTTTTATCCTGCCTGACATAATCTTTCTCTTAAATTTTTGTATTTAGATACTTAGACTATGTACATCTTATGTAATTATAGAGAAGTTCGTGTTTAAATCTCTTATCTTAATTTTTTTTTCTTTATTTGGCCAATGTTGCCTTGATTCTCCTTTTTATCATTTCCGTAATTCTTTTGGGAAGATTTATTTCTTATTTGTTTTATTATTTCATATTACTGATTTTTCATGCTTAATAGCTCTGCATCTTTTTATTTTACGTTTCAATTGTTGTCTCAAATTTACAGTATGCTTTCTTAACTCTTCACAGGCTACCTTCAAAAAATAAAATTTTATTTTACATATAGGGTTAGACTATACAAAAGTATAATTTCATTTATTTTTCTCATCTTTTACAATATTATCATATTCATTTCTACATATATAATAACCTGTCAATGCAACATTCATACTGTCAATTAAAAAGTTGAAGTGAGTAAAACATGTCTTCTATTGACATACATGTTTGCTACTTATGATTTCTGTGTTGGTATAGATAATAGTTCCATTTGGTATCATTTTTCTTCTGCCTTAGGAATCTATTTTAATATTTTTTCTAGTGCAAGCGAGTAGCCAATAAATGCTCTAAGCTTTTATCTGAAAATTATTTTGGCATAGTTTTTATAGTGTCTAAGTTTGCTATTATTCCTATTATTATTTTTACTATACTTATCACTAATTCATTTATTATTTTTAATATCTCCCTGGTTCACCAAATTGCATTGTTTTTTGAGTGAGAATGCAGCACTAATTTTGATTTTCTCCTTTCCACCTAATGTATTTTAATGTCTCTGTCTGCTTCAAAAATTTTTTTTAATCTATTGTTTTCAGCAGCAATTTGATTGTAAGGTTCTTTGGTGTATTTTTCAATGTTTATTTTGTTCAGGCTACATTGAGATGATTGGATCTGTGGGTTTGCGGTTTTTATGAAATTTGGAATGTTTTTGGTCATTGTTTATTCATGGCTTTTTACCTCACTTCTTTATTCTTTCCATTTTGGGATCCCAAATACTGCTCAATGAGTTCCCTGACATCAGTAAAGATCCATTTTTTTCCAGATACTTTTCTTCTTTGTTCTTCAATTGGGTAATTTCTATTCCTGTGTCTTCAAGTTCCCTGATTTTCTGCTATTATCTAATCTACTATTACTATCATCTGTAGAATGTTTTATGTCTGATTTTTTAACTAATAAGTTGTTGGGATTATTTTTCAGATCCTCCACTTCTCTCCTCATTGTGTTAATATTTTTTTAATCCTTGCCAAACATTTTATAGCTCTTCTGTAGACCTTGTCTGCTAATTGTATTATCTCTATCATTATTGAATGTGTGTTTATTAAATGAGTTGTCTTTGTGTGAATCACGTTGCTGAAGCTTTTATGTCTAGCTCTTTTACACTGTGAGTTTTTAAATCTGAATGTCAGTGTTTTGTTTCCTTCACATAAAGAGTATTGAGTCCAGTTTTGGAGTTCAGTTAAGTTAGCCACAGAATGTTTTTTAAGTCTTTTGGCTTTTTTAAAGCTTTTTTTTCCCCCTAGCAGAACCTTACTCCAGGCCTACTTTATTCTTCTTTGAGGTGTGCCCCTCTGGAGCTCTGCCTATAACTCTGCGGGGTGCCTTTTGCTCAGGTTTAAGGAAGTCTCACTCTACAACTGGACAACTTAATGCCCTGCCAAAGACTCAGGTGACATTCATGTCTATTTCTGGAGCTTTTTATCTATACAGCTTCTTCTAAAATGCTCTTATGTGCCGGGAATACTAGCATCCTTCTCCCCACACTCTGATCTGTGACTCATCTCGGGGAGACCCCCGTGCTCTGCTTTCCAAACATTTCTTCCTGGAAGGAAGGTGAGGCGACTATGGGGTTTGCGTTGTTTACTTCTCTTCTCTAGGGATAATGGTCCCGCACCTTCATCTAGTCTTCAACAACTTTCTTTTTCCATGTCTGACCACATTTCCCCTCACAATATTGCATCTAGTGTTCTTGAAACGCATGCCAAAAGAAAAGTTTTTGTCCTGTTTTTCTTACATGGCTAGACGTGGAAGTCCCTGAGATTTAACTGTAACCATGCAATTGACCCCATGTTAATATTAGAAATTTAATATTAGAAATGTTTATATTTTGGGGATTATATATTTTTTATCTTCAAAATGTGTTCAGTAAAATTACTTCACATTCTTATTATAAGGAGTGTTGGACAATAGAGCTACTGATTCTCTGTTATTATACTTTTGCCTTCTTCTATATTTTTAACTTTTATGTGTATCATTAGTGCTCTAAAATATCCACTGAGGGCTATGTTATTATTTTTCCTTTCACAAGTTAGAGAAGCCTCAGAGA